CTACACTGCATTTAGAGACATCTCCTCAGATCTGCCTTCTAGCTTACTAATTATTTCTTCAGTTCTAGTTTTGTTTTAGCTCATCCTCTGAATGTTTAACTCTAATTACTGTTTTTCACTTCTATTAGTTCTCTTTGATTTTTCATCAAATCTGTTTTAATGCTTTCTTTTCTCATATTTTCTATTTATTGTTATATAGTTTCATGATGTAAAAAAATCCCTATTTTTTAGTTTTCATTTGATCATCCTCATATTTTATATTCTTGGTCAATTGTTACAGCAGTTTCCTGTGTTTGCATAGCGGATTGCTTTCTCTCTCTTGTTTTATAATTTCTTATGTAGCTATTTTTAAGGAGATTGCCATTATTCCACCCTGGAGAAAACTGTATAAGTGGTAAAGTGCCCCTCAAATGCCTTTCTTTGCTTCCTGCAGTAGTTTCAACTCGGATATCACCAAGTTGGGACCAGTTTTTTATGTTAACTCTTTGGAATACAGTTTCATAGACCCTTTTGGTAGTATGAACTTGCACTCCAATCTTATATGAGATATAGGCCCAGAGTATTGAGTTTTTCACAGAAGCCCTTTAAAATCCTTATATTTAGAGATCTTGAAATAAAAGAAATTTGCTTGCTCATTAGTTAGAATTTTACCCTTTCACAGAGGAATGTAGCCCTTCTAGGTCCAGGCTTTTATCCAGAACACTGACTCACTATTCCAATACCTAGCATAGGCCCAAAACCTAATCTTATGTCCCCAAATTAAACCCCAAACCCATAGATTAATGAGACTGATAACCTCCCATAACAGTTGCATCATATTAGCATTTACTTTTAGTTTTTGTTTTGGCCTCTGAGAGTTTTCTGTTCTCCTTACAAACTCAGCTATGTGTTTAAAGCAATTGTTATATTTTATCCATTATATAAGAATGTTTGAGGGTATTTGAACTGTGTTGTTGGGTGTTGGGAGATAATTGTCAGGTTACCTTTGACTGCTATGTTGTTAGAACCAGAAGTATATACATTGCTTATTTTTGGTTCTTGTTAGTAGGAAAATGCCTTATTGAAAACAAAATTTTATCCTCTTCAACTAAGAAACATCACAAAATATAGTTTATAAATACAGGGTCATATTAAACTGCTCTGCTTCTATAGGTAATTATCAATATTAGAATGAAAAGTTATCCCAGAAATAGATTCCTATACAGTGACCTTTAATGTGTCATTTACCTACTGTGATAAATCACAGACATGAATGAATGTTTATCTGCATTAGGAATGATTAATGGCCTGGAAGTATTATAAGAGATTCGTATTTCCTTTATGTAAAAGATAACTTGTTACAAGGCCAAAGTGCACTGCTTTTTAATCTTCCATAAAGTTTGTGATGCTGCAAATGTTTTCAGCCCTACATAGACTTCTTCAAGCAACAAGGAGGAAGGACAACCCTCAACTCTTAAGTGTACATAACTCTTAATGGACAGATTTTTTAAGGCAAAAGAGATGGCAAAATATGTAAGAAGATATTTTTGGAAAAGATTGTCAAGTTGTAAACAACTTACAGATGTGACAAATTTACTGATTCTTATATTCTTTATTGCATTACTTAGAATTTTTCTTACATAAACTATTTCCTTTTTAAAACTTCCCTATGCAATGTGTGTGTGTGTGTGTGTGTGTGTGTGTGTATATATGTGTGTGTGTGTGTGTGTGTGTGTATATATATCTCTCTGTGGATAGTATTCATTTTTCCAAGCAGCGAATCCTGATTCCTCGCAGACCTGATTCCTCTCCCACCATACTTACAGTCATGACTGAATCTTGCTGGTTTTACTGTATATTCCAAGTAAAGAGTGATTACTCAGATGACTGCAGTATATGTCGAGAATTGTAGAATTTAATTATCTATGTGACATTGGACACTTTTTTTTTTTAGTATTTACAAGACATATTTTCTTCTTTGGCAGAGAGAAAACATCCGACTAAAGATTTACAGGAGCCCTATAGTTCTCTAATCTATGAATCCTTTAAATAAGTGAGAGAAAATTCTGTTTGCAAGCTAAATTACAAATATTTCTTTTTTTTTTTTTTAATATTATATTTATTTGTGTTTGGAAAAAGCCTTTTAATTATACTTTATTTTACTTTTACTTTATTTTTCTTTGTTTCAATTCATCACGTTATTTCCATGGCTTTTTCTGTTTGTATCATTCATTGATTTACTGAGCAGATACTTACTGAGCATCTACTTTTTACCCAGCACTATGATGGACTGGTGTTGTGATGCAAAGTTGAACATGATACACAGTGATTGCTTTTATGGAACTTAGTGTCTAGTGGAGCGGTGCATTGAGATAAATTATGCGATAGGGAAATATACTCTGGTATTGCTGAGCGGACACAAGGGAAAACACTGACCTCAAACTTGGAGGGATTGGGAACCTTCCTAGAGGAAATGCCACTTAAGCAAGACCTGAAATTGTAGGTCAAGGGAGAGTTGGGGAAAGGAGGCGTGGAGGTAAGAGAGAATGTGATACCTCTGAGGAGCTGAGAGAGATATACTGCTTCTAATATTCCTGTAACAGAACAGAGGGACACTAGCTGTAAAACAGAGGCTGGGTAAGGAGGGCAGTCTGGTCTGTGGTAAGGGGTTTCACATTAAGAGTTTTAAGCGATACACCTTCATTTTCCTTTTCCATTTTAGAGTGAACTTGCAGGTGCAGTTTGGAGAATAAATTGGAGGGGGGAAATCAGGATTTTATAATACAGTACGGGTACAGTAGTCCAATATAATCCATCAGCAGTGAGGGTGTAGGAGAGCAGACAGATTTGAAAGATGTTAGAGAGGTAGAAACCCTGTGGTTTACTAGAGGTGGATTATGGTGGAGGAAGAAGGGTCAAGAATATCTGTGTTGACAATTCTGATGACTGAGTAGGTGGTCATGTTATTGACTGAGCTAAGGAACACAGAAGGAGGAGTGAGTTTGGGAAGGAAAATGTTGAATTCAGTTTGGGCACGTGTGGCACATTCATGTGTCCATTGGGCAGTTGGATATAAGGGTTCAGGAGAAAGATTAAACCTGGAGTTACAGATTTGGGCTTTTGTAGACCACAAATGATCACTGAAGTCGTGAGAGTAGATGAACTTACTCCAGAAGATTAAGTGGAACGAGAATAGAACAAGGCTTAGAATAGAACTTTGAAGAAGACCAGCAGTCAAGGGATGGGTGAAAGAGGAGATGAGAATATGCTTGGAGAAGACAAGCAAAGGACACAGTAATAATCACTGTTAGATGCTAATCAGATGTCAAGGAAGGATTGAAGTACTGATGGAATTTAGCAACCTTGAGGTAGATCATGATCTGGTTGAGAATGGTTTCAGTGAAATTGTGAATGTGTAAGTAAGCACTGTACAGTTTCTTTGGTGAATGAGTGAAGATGAAATAGTAGAGACAGTAACATAGACAATTCTTCATAAACAGGAACAGAGATATGTCAGCTGAAAATCAGTCTGGGGTAGAGGGTTTTTTTGTTGCTGTTATTGTCATTTGCTCATTCTTTATGTTTGTCTTTTCAGAATTTGCTTTTAAATGCTGTGGGAGGGGGAAAGGCAGACAATGACAAGGCAAGAGAAAGAATAACCAGTAGAGTAAGGTCCTTGAGCTTGGGTTGACAGTAGGATAGATAAGTGGAGGGAACACACTGTATGAACTGGAAAGGTGGACCATGGTCAGAATCTAAATGTCTAGTGTCTTGACTTTTTGTTGTTGTTCTTTTGTTTGTTTGTTTTGGTAGAGACAGGATCTCGCTATGTTGCCCAGGCTGGTTTCAAACTGCTGGTTTCAAGTGATTCTCCCTGCTTGGCCTTCCCAAGTGTTGAGATTACAGGTGTGAACCACCATGCCCAGTCTGACTTATATTCAAAGATAGCACAGTTCTGAATGGTGGTGGGACAAGGCATGAGAGAGCGTGGTGGAGCAGAAGTGAAGGTTAGGGGAGAAGAGGCGAAAGAAACCTTGATTGGTCAGGGTGTTGGCTAGGTCTTACAAGTGAAGTTGCCCACATTGATGATGGGTTGTAAGGACCGGTAAGACAGAGACGGTCCAGGAAGTGACTAGTGAAATGGAGGTGGAAGATGCAGTCATGTCCCTTAATAATGTTCGCTTCAGCACGAATGCATTTGTATAAAAGGATGCAGAAGTAAGGGTGTGCAGACAGTACTGGGGAGCAAAGCCACCCACCTTTCGTCCTGATGCTATAGCATCTGAACCATGCAGGAGCAAACGGCTTCAGCTTGAGAAGGTTGTTATTAGGTGAACTATGTTCATTCAGTTAAGAGTAAGAAATGGAATGCCCATTTAGTGAGGACATTGAAGATGTAGGGGAAGTTTGTTTACCCACCTGCATGAGTCTCGACTGAGACTGGTAGCAGAAACAGTTGGATCTAAGATTTCTGTTTAGTTCCACAGCAGTGGGTATTCAAGAAATAAGTTTTGGTCTGAGCTCTGCCTAACCAGCTGTGAGACTGTGCATACAGTAGTTAAGTGATTTCCTTGATTTAAAACTGATTGAAGTTCAAAGAACTTGTGATATTTCAAGAGATATCCATTGGTAAAAGTCCAGCCTACTTTATTCTGTTGTCCTGTCTTTGTGTTAACAGTCATAAAAATTTGTGATACAATACAGGTTTTTAAATTTAAAGACTTGTCTTACGTAAATTTTTAAGCCTTTTTGGTTAGTACATTTAGATTTTCTCTTAAAGCCTCATGTTTATGTTTACTTCTGTTTGTTTTTTAGACCTGTTTTTTTTGTTGTTGTTTCTATTTCTTACCTTTCTGAGTGTAGGTGGTAGAGAATGGTAATAACTGTACAGTAACTTTCAATAAAGGGAGATGAAATAGTGACATATTAGTGACATCAGTTCTCTTGTGTGTATGCATTTGTGGTGACTGTAAAGGGGACCGTGGACTTCATGAGCATCTTTCTTTCTTGTTGTTTTTCAGGGACCATGGCTAAACCTCCTGGATCATTAGCCAGAAGCAGCAGCCTGTGCCGCTCGCGCCGCAGCATCGTGCCGTCCTCGCCTCAGCCTCAGCGAGCTCAGCTTGCTCCACATGCCCCCCACCCGTCACACCCCCGGCACCCTCACCACCCCCAGCACACGCCGCACTCCTTGCCTTCCCCTGACCCAGATATCCTCTCAGTGTCAAGTTGCCCTGCGCTTTATCGAAATGAAGAGGAGGAAGAGGCCATTTACTTCTCTGCTGAAAAGCAATGGTATTGGCAGTGAATAATCTATAGGGCATGTTGGGGCTGGGTTTGGGGGTAAGGTGTGAGGAGGGGGGCAGGAGGAGTGGTGCATTGTTTCCGTTTTCTGTTGCTGCATATCGAGGTACCATAGACTTTGCAGCCTCAGACATCACCCATGTTTTAGTTCTTAGTTCTGTACCTCAGAATTCCAAGCCTGGTGTGACTGGGGGTTTTGCTCAGGGCCTTACAAGGGTAAAATCGTGGTGTTGGCCAGGCTGCATTCTCATCTGGAGCTTGCAGTTCTCAAAGCTCATGTGATTGTGGTGAACTTCATTTCCTGTGGCTCCAGGACGGAGGTCCCCGTGTCTGTGCTTTCTGTCGGCCGCATGGCGGCTGCTCTCAATTCCTGGAGGCTGTCCACTGTTCCTTGCCACAGGATCTCCATCTTCAAAGCCAGCAACAGAGAATTTCCCTGCTGTAGATTCCTCCTTTGCTTTGAGTCTCCAACTTCTGTCTCTCTGATCTCTAGACTAAAATTTCAAAGGCTCACCTGGATAATAATCTCCCTATATTAAGATCAACTAGTTTAGGGCCTTAATTTTATCTTCAGTATCCCTTTACAGCCGCATCTATTTTTATGTTTGATTGGAAAACTGGAAGAAGGTGGGTGTACACCAGAGGCTGGGAATTTGGGAGCTGCCTTAGAATTCTGCCTACCATAGACATATAGGTAGATATTTTGAGATGTAACTGCTTAGAGGTCACTGGACACAGTTGACTCAGATCTCAGAGCATAAATTTGTCATGAACAATTTTATATGTAAAATAGAAAAGCATGAGCTTGAAATATACTTGAACACAAAGAAATATCAAATATGACTGACTTAAAAATATTTATTGTCACTTAATGATTTATTCTGTTATGTGCAGGTGCTTGCTAACACAGAAGCAGTATCATATGCCAAATGTTTAAGAAAATGTCAGGAACTTAAAGGAGAAAAGTAAATAACAAAATGGGCATAGCAGCAGTGTATTTCAGTCCAACTTAATGACATCAGTGCTCCATGAAACTGTTAATTTGAGGATCTCTGTTCTTGAACTGCATTCCTCTTTAAAAGGGGTATGGTATTGAGTGTTAGTTTCAGGTATTGACTCTTAGTAGCTATGTGGCCCCAAAGGCTTTACCCTCTTCTTTGAGAAGTGAAAGGGAGTGGTCCACACTCTTTATCGTGTGACTCTAGGTGACATTATCATCAAATAATCATTTTTCATTCATAACTATCTAGCAGTAAAAGAAATGTTATGATTTGCAAGTGATCAGTGCAGCATATTCCTAAGGAGATAATGCAGGTTTTGTACCCTCATTGCAGTTGGAGAATCTGATACAGCTTTGCTTGGTTAACACTTTATGACTAGCTTTTCGTCTGTCTTTGCAGTATGAACGTAGTCACCAGCAAGATGACTTTACTGACAGAACTGGTCTTGTGTGGTTTCTGGAAATCAGAAGGAAAACTCGAGAGCTGCACTGTCTAATCAAACTTTCTGCATTGATGAAGCGTTCAGTTCTCATTTCAACAGCAATGTCAGAGTTTCATAGCTAGCTCTCATAAATAAGAGAAGAATTTGAATTTGGAAAACCTTTCTTCCTTTTCGTTTTCAGTCTCTCCTCTATTGAACCACCAGAATTCTTACAAAATAATAATGTTAAATATTTACTGATTTTTTAATGTTCTATGCCTTATGCACATAATGCTCATTTAAATCTCACTTCGAGTTTTCTTATACAAGTATAGTGTGAATTCAACTCCATGTCACTCTGGGGGAAAAAGAAATAGAAAAAATGGCATAAGTGGTACACATAGTTAAGTTCAACTTTCCAAAGAATATGTACTCTGCAAGAAAATAAAATTTGAAGTTGTATTATATCTTATTATCCAAGTCGGATTAGTTACGCAGAAGCAGCAACACTTTGGATTCTTGTCATTACGGAATTCAAATGTTAGAACTAGAAGGTAACATTAGTGATTAATCAGATTTTCCTACTTTAACAGATAGGAAAATTGAGACCTCAAGAAATCAAGTGGTTTGCTGAGGCTTTTACAACTGATTAATGGTAGGACCAGCTTAGGAACCCAAGTCTCCTGACTTAAATCAGTATTCTTTTCACACATTGTTCAGAGTTCAGAGGCTGGTTTTTAAAATATTTTTAGCCTAGCTTAGAATTTCACCCACAAAAGCAGCCAAGCCACATAACAGAAAAGAAAATAAATTCATAAAATTGTAACTAAATCAGCTTCTGCTCTTTGGAAGCTGAACAGCTCCAGGGAACGTGATATATTCTGCTCAATTAATTGACAGCCATTCCAAAAAAAAAGCTTTGCAGAAATGCCTCTACCAATGATTGATTTCTGAGTCTGATCATTTCCTCATATCTGAACTGCTGCTACTTTCTGTTAGCACTACCCATTATCGAATTGTAAAAGCATTTGAGAATTATGCAGTACACGCAGGTGTATTATATGAAACCATTAGTTAGGTCTTTAGGGGGTTTTGTACCTTTTGAGAGCTTATAGTGTAGTAAAGACAATCTTCATAGACATGCGTGAGTAAAGTACATAGAAATGACTAAGCAATCTTAGTCTGTATCTAAAATGTGGTATTAACATAGAATATTCATCAAAAGTGAGTGCCAGACCTCCAGTAAATGTGTACATCAATAACATGAAAATGATAGTACTCATAGGCCATCTAAGGTAAGAGATCATTCAGTTCATTCATTTCCTAAACACGAATTTAGTCCTTGCTATGAGAGGTGCATTTGCCAATAGCATGAGCTGCCAAGACAAGTGAGACAAGGCCCTGGCCTGGTTCCAGCTGCTGGGTTATAATCATGTGTACTCTTGCCTTTCTGTTCTGTCTTCAGCTCACCTCCCTTCTCACACCATATTTCTTTTGCCACTTTTTACCTTGACTCTCCCTTTCATTGCTTAATCATTTCCTTTCATGGAGTGAACAGTATTCACCTTGGGCTCAGTGCATGCAAAAGTGAATGAGACTAAGTAGTAAAGCTCTCAAAAAAGAAAAAAAAAGTGAGTAAGGTGTGATCCCTGTTCTTTAATATCTCATTCTGTTCATTGATTCATTCACCCACCCTTCCATTCATTTGTCCAACACATATTTATGAAGTACCCGCCGTGAGCTTGCCATTCTTTTAGTGCAGAGAAGTTAATAAGACTCCTTGTCCTTATTTATTTCCTTTTTTCTGGGGATACTGCCTATAGACAAGTTAATATAAAATATCATTTTAGGTTTTGGTAAGTTTTGGGGTTGCAAACAAAGACAGGTAAAACAAAAGATAATGCTGTTTCAGATAAGGTGGTTAGGGGAGGCAGGAGTAACCTGCATACCCTGGAGAAGTAAGCCACGTGGAGATGGAGAGTAGATAACACCAAGCAGAGGGAACAGCAAGTGCAGGGCCCTGAGGAGTCTTGAGGTTGGCATGTTACAGGAACACGAGGGAGTGTACAGTTGGAGATAGCCAGGGACCACATGTACAAGCCTGGTACGCTTTGACTAGGGCTTTGGATCTTACTCTGAGTATGAGAGAGAGCACTGGGAAGTTTCAAGTAAGTGAATGATATATTTTGCTCGAGTTTTAAAAAAATCACTTTAATGGCTGTGTGGAGAAGTAACTGGGAGGGAAGAGCGAGAATGAAAGCAGGGAGGCCAGTTAGGAAGCCATTGCAGTCATTTAGGTGAGTTCCTGGCTGTTTCAGAGGAAGAATGGGAGCAGGGGCGGAATAAGCAATGGTGGATTTGAGAGATTTGAAGGAATGGGTGATGGGATTTACTATATGTTGGTTGTGGGGTTACAAAATTTATATTTCCACGGTGGAGAAAAGGAGGAAAACATTCAAGAGTAAGAATGCTGTGAGAATTCACTGAATGTCTGGGTTTTTTTTTTTCTAAATAGCATCATATGTTTGCCCCCTCCTCCACTGCCATACTCTGATGCACCTCAATTCCCTGCCCCCCTTTTAAATTTGGTAGAACTTATATTTTAGTATAATTCCTTTCATGTATATTCCTTCCTTCCTAACAAAGCTATAGCTCATCAAGTTAATGACAAAGGGAGAGACAGTGACTAAAATTCATCTTTTAAAATAGTGTCAACTCCGATTTAGAAAGAAACATAGTATTGAAATAAAACATAAAAGTAGCTGAGATGATAGCTGAATCACCTGTAAAATTTAACATTTTAATTTATTTGACAAAAAGAAGGTGTAACTTATATTGTCTGTAGTTTGTAAGATTTCATTATTATGGTTTATGTTAAAAATCCAACATTGAGTTTTGAGAAGCCATATTATTTAAAGAAGTAATGTTCTCATTTTGCTAAAATGTATATAGAATTGTATCATTTCCCTCTTTTAAATTTCAGTAAGCAATGAAAGTTGTTTTAGTTAGAATGTCTGCTAGTACTCTTAAGAACATACTGATTTAAAATTTGTACCTTTGTTTGTGTTTCATTCAGGGAAGTGCCAGACACAGCTTCAGAATGTGACTCCTTAAATTCTTCCATTGGAAGGAAACAGTCTCCTCCTTTAAGCCTCGAGATATACCAAACATTATCTCCTCGAAAGATATCAAGAGATGAGGTGTCCCTAGAGGACTCCTCCCGAGGGGATTCGCCTGTAACTGCGGATGTGTCTTGGGGTTCTCCTGACTGTGTAGGTCTGACAGAAACTAAGAGTATGATCTTCAGTCCTGCAAGCAAAGTGTACAATGGAATTTTGGAGAAATCCTGTAGCATGAACCAGCTTTCCAGTGGCATCCCGGTGCCTAAACCTCGCCACACATCGTGTTCCTCAGCTGGCAATGACAGTAAACCAGTTCAGGAAGCCCCAAGTGTTGCCAGAATAAGCAGCATCCCACATGACCTTTGTCATAATGGAGAGAAAAGCAAAAAGTCATCAAAAATCAAAAGCCTTTTTAAGAAGAAATCTAAGTGAACTGGCTGACTTGATGGAATCCCATTCAAATGGCATCTGTAAACTATTATTCCCCGCCGTCCACCCCCCACTGTTTTTTGGGTTTCTTTTAATTTTAGGAATGTAACTCCATCGGGGCTTTCCAGGCCAGATGCCAGAGTGGAACGTCCAGGAGGGCAACTGTCTACTGTCTGCTTATTTAAGTGACTATATATAATCAGTTCATCAAGCCAGTTATTACTGAAAAATCATTGAAATGAGACAGTTTACAGTCATTTCTGCCTATTTATTTCTGCTTTGTTATTAGTGATGTATATACAACATTTCATTGAAAGCCACTATGGACTTACAAGCTTTAATGGACTCGTAAGCCAGCATGGGCTTGCAAAAATTTCTTGTTTACCAGAGCATCTTCTTATCTTTCCACAGAGCTATTTACATCCTGGACTAAATAACTTATAAGAAGTAAAACTAATTGCACTACTGTTTTCCAGACTGGAAAAAAAAAAAAATCTCTGCGAGTGAAACTGTGTAGAGTTTATAAAATGACTATGGATAGGGGACTGTTTTCACTTTTAGATCAAAATGGGTTTTTAAGTAGAACCTAGGGTTTCTAATTGACTTGATTTCTGGAAATGAAAACCCACGCTTTTACTATGGGAAGCTTCTTTAACTGCTTTTACTATTGTGAAGTTTCAAGTCCCGCTGTAAAGATCATGTTTTGTTTTCCCCAGGGCTTTCACTGTGATTTACTGCATTGCAGGCTGTATGATAAAATATACATAATTTAAAGAGAGAAGGCTCTTGATTCCTTATGCAAGTGGAAGAGTTGAACCTTGATTGAAGGACTTAAAACATTCATAACCTTAAGCCGAGGTGGGGGATATGGGGATTCAGGCAATTGTTTACACACTTTGAATAACCGCAAAGGATTTATGGTTTGTGAAAAATGTGTACTGTGGAAAAGATAATAAATTGGAGACATTATTGTGTGGGATTGTCCTGATTTTTGTTGATAACACTCCACAAAAAACACTATGTTTTCTGGAGAGCTGTGTAAGCTGTCTTGTTGCTTCATTGCAATATAAGAAATAGTGATGTTTTGGACGTAAGTTGTCAACAAATTTCTATTTTATATTGTTTGTCCTATTTTTATGTAGTTTGAAATGTATAAATGTTCTAATATCAAGATTAACAAATATAAATTTATGGTGCATTTAGATTGTGTTGTATTAATTTATAAAGTATGGTGTTCATTAAATTGGTGTGTTGTGTAAGGGTAGCTTTTATTGTTAAAAAGACAGTAGAGAGTTAAGTTCCATATAGCAACAAAGTATGTTAACATCTAGGGAGTTTGTGCTTATACCACTTTAAAAATATGCAATCATAAATGATTTGATTACTGCAATGCAGATGGATGTTTGGATGAACAACTGATACATTTTAGTTAGAATACTTTTTCAGCATTATGGCTAAAATATATGTCTAACCCAGTGCTATTTAGGTGAAAATCCTAATTGATAAACAAGAAGTTTCTTTTGAGATTTGCTTCAAAGAAATGCTTTAGTAAGAATATGAACAATTTCCTGATGTCTCCTGTAAATTGTGATTGTTTATTCTCTTTATTACTATTGTTAAAAACTTGACTGGTATTTGTATTGGCTGATATTTATATAGTTAATAGATTGAGTTCTGTAAGGGCAAAAATTGATTGAAATGAACATAGTGTTTTGCACTAATGATAAGGTAAGATAACCTGAGAGGTAGGGTTGAGGAACACAGGGTGGAAAGCGCATAAAGAACTGAAAAGGGTTCTGGAGTGTTTACGCAGAGTGAAGGGAAAAACCTTAACCTTCTTTTTCTTATAACCAGACAGGAGGCGTTCTTCCCTTTGAAAATTGCAAAAGGAATGAGAACCTTGCAGTTGGATGAATAGAAAAGGGAGAAGTTGCCAGAGCACGGAGTGAAGATGGGAGGAGCTGCCAGCAAGGCCCACTGCTGCTCCTGGCTTAGAAGGGAGCTCTGGAGCAGAACCAGCTGGGGGCCGGCACTGCTGCTTAGAGTGGAGGAGGCTGGCCGAAGGGACTGTGGGCCGTTTTTAGGCAGGGAGCGCGTGCATTGTTTGTGCTCAATTTCAGACATTCATTTATAAACAAATTCAACCAAGGGATATTTACTGCTTTATGTTGCTTGTGATAATTATTTTGCATTAATGGAGTATACACATTTGTAAATTCAACAGGAAATAATTGAGTTTTGGAAAGCTACAGTAATTTCTGTGTTACATCATTTATATGTGAAAAGTTGGGCATTTCTATAAGTTTTTTAAATTATCCATTTGTTACTTTAACATTTTAAAATTATGGTGTTTTCCGGATTTTAAAAGTAATATTTTCCTTACTGTAAAAAAAAAAAAAAAAAAAAAAAAAGTCGATGATAGAAAAGTATAAAGAAGAAAATAGCAAGCAGGTCAAATACTGCTACCCCAAATAATCACTTTTAATATTTTAGTATGCTTTCTGCTAGATCTTTTTCTACATATTGATGTATATTTTACATAATTGAAATCATACTATATATTCAATTTTATATCATGCTTTTTCACTTAATATAAGCATTATCCCAACATCATTAAAAAACTCTTCATGAGCAACATTTTAATGACTGTATACTAATACGCTATTGTATGGATTTACCAGAATCTTTTGAAGTATTCTGTCATTAAACATTTGGCTGTTTCTAAATTTCTGATACGTGGAGTAAGAGCATTTCACATTTATTGAGCACTCTGTATGCCAGGCACTGTTTTACACTTTTATATTATCATTTAATCTTTACATCAACTCTGTCAAGTGGGTTCTTTTATTATTATTACCATTTTACTGATGAAACTAAGCCCAAAAAGTCAAGTTGCTGATGGTCATATAGCTAGTGATAGAGCCATGTTCTTAATTTGTAAGTCATACTGCGTAAAGTCTAATTAACACTTTGGTTTCCTAGGGCATATGGTTTTAGAAGTTTACAGAAAAATATAAGATTTTTAGCTTAAATTTTAATATATATGTACATAGGTATGTATATATACACACACACGTAGTCTCACATGCCTTGGACATAGCTGGTTTTAAGGTTTCTTATTCATATAACCATGTTGATAACCACCCTCTATTCAATGTTTGAATGTGTATGAGTGCCCTTTGACTTCACACTACCTTTTCTCAATTACCATTATGGTTAAAACTTTGTTAATTTAATAGGCAAATAATGTCCAATAAGATTGGAAAGTTTTTTCATATTTTCTTAGCCTTGTGTATTTTTTATTTTAGTGAATTGTTTTTGTGCCCATTAAGTTCTTGGGGTCCTACTGTTTTTCTAAATCTTTTGCACAGTTAGTCTTTCAAATGTAGCTATTCTTACATTCTTCATTTACTAACTAATCAGTGATTTCAAAAAACGATACATGTATTTTTCTTACCGATTTTAGAAGTAAATGAAAGAAAACCTAGATTTAAGTTTTAGTTTTACTGATCTCCTGATTTGGGGTCTTGAATGGGAGAGTTTCACCTTGTTGATATGGTCAAGGTGGGTTTTCCCCAAAAAATTACAGGCAAGAGACAATATAGGATCTGCTGCACTCATTCAACAAATGTTTAATAGCCTACCACATGCCAAGCACCATGATAAACTCTGAAGGTATAAAGACTAAGGTGGCAGGTGCCTTCTTTAAAGGAACTTGGCATCTAATAGAGGAGACAGATCAGTCAAAAGTCCTTGTAATGAGTGGGGTGATAGAAATGAAAAGTGAATATTGGGGAGGTGGGACCCAGTGGGGAGAGGGATTGTGTAGTTCAAAAGTATGTATTAAATCAAGGATAATTTAATGGTGCTGCTTTGTGGAGGACATGGAGAGACTGGCTGTGACAGAGACATACAGGACCAAGGGCAAGTTGGTTTTAGGGTTTCTACTCACTAGTGGTCTGGTTCTGGCAAATGAGCTTGCAGTTACTGAGCTCCAGGGAAACACCTGCTGCTAGCTGTGGGGGTACTTATTTTGGAGCAAAGTGTTGGCCAGAAACACCGCATTTGAGTAATCATGTAAACCCAGATAATACTGATTAAAGAGAGTTCCCTCCCCACATTCTCAGCTCTCAAACAGGGTAGACTTTGTTGAAAGACACTGCCCTTCAGATTTGTCAGGGTAGCCCTGATGCTATCTTTACTCAGCTGATGTCAAGTGAGCTTCGGGCCAAGTTTCAGGATTTGACCTCAGTCCAGTGATTGGGCTTTTCTGGGTATCTGCAAAGTCTGAAGTGGCTCTCAAAGGGTCTTCTCTAGGGCAGTAGGCCTAGATAGGAGATCATGGAGAAGCCTCAATCCACATCTTGATTTCCTGTTAGTGTGATGGGATTGAGACAGACGCCTCACAGTCTTTCATGAGTTGCAGCATTTTGATGGCCAGAGTCTCCAGCATCCAGGTGATTCAGTTTTTACTGGATATGTTGCAGTGTCTTCATTAACGTCCAAAAGTGACGGAGAGCAGTGAGCTGAAGGGAAGGAGTGCAGTTCACCACCTCCTGGTGAGAGCTGCTCTGCCCCAGGAAGTCACAGTGGCTCAGCCATTCTCAATCGCCAGTCCTTGAAGCAACAGCCAAGCATCTGCTTCCCACATGGTGCTGTTTTGCCCTGCCAGGTTCTAGTTCCCTATGAAAGTGGGACTCAGAAATCTTATGTGGGTCAAAATAGTTCATCTCTTGCTTCAGGTTTACTCAGTTTGATAGGGTTTTATTGCTAGCAGCCACCAGTGTTGCAGTTCTCATTCTTAAGAACATCTGTGTACTCCTTAAGCACCTCTTTATGCTCTAAAATATCTACATAGGCTAACTTTCCCATGTGTGAAAATGTCAACTGCTGAAATATTTCTACAGACCTCTGGCTTCTAGGGTGTGGTGGCATCAGATTTTAGGGAAATTGAAAGTCACCAGCTCTAAGGTACTGGAAAACGTTTCCAGAATAAGAAATGTGGCTTTGTTGCTTGATTATTCTCCACAAAAAAGCTTTCCGTTATCATTTAAGATGTTTATCTGTAGCAAAAAGTACAATGAGAAGAAATGAAAAGGGGTGTTGGGAGTGTGGGGTGTAAAATGGAGCCTGGGTGCAACCGTGAACTGCTCTGCTAGAGGCTGCCTTTGACTTCAAGGTAAGAAAATGAACCTGTAAATAGGCCTGGGCATGACACCTTGGGAAGGAGAGAGGAGCGGAAGGGTGCATTTGTTGTCAACTCACCAAATCTTGTCCATTTCGTTCCCTGAATATCTCAGTGAATGCCCCACTTGTTTATCTACTGCCCTGGGGCTTTGCTTCTCCATTTCTCATATTATTCACTTCAAAAAGCAAACTGAACCCAGCCTCACCACCCGCTTCATCCTTTCATTGGTGAGCTCTCTAAGTTGCACAGTGGATTTTCTCTGAATAAAGTTTTTCTATGCCTTTTGTTGCCTGTGGGATAAAATACAAACTTAACCAAGACTAGCAACGGTCCTTGATATTCTGTGCCCTGCTTACTCCTCTGGCCTCATGGCTTTTGTGGACATAATCAGTCACACAGAACTTCATGCAATTTCTGAAGTAAGGCAAGCTGCTGCTTTTGCCTGGAACGTCCCCTTCCATCTTAGGCAACTAATGCTCAAACTTCAACTCCCATATCTCTAGGAAGCCTTCCATGCATGCCCCCACCCTGGGTGGGATACCACTTCTGTGATGTGCAGAATTTTCTTTCCTTTTTTTTTTTTTTTTTTTTTTTTTTGAGTCAGGGTCATACTCTTGTCTAGGCTGGAGTGCAATGGCGCGATCATGACACACTGCAGCTTCAACTTCCCCAGGTGCTCAGGTGATCCTCACACCTCAGCCTCCGAGTAGCTGGGACTTCAGGTGTGCACCAACACACCCAGTTTCTTTCTTTCTTTTTTTTTTTTTTTTTTCTGAGACAGAGTCTCACTGTGTCGCCCAAGTGGTGCGATCTTGGCTCACTGCAACCTCCACCTCCAAGGCTCAAGTGATTCTTTTGCCTCAGCCTCCTGAATAGCTGGGACTACAGGCATACACCACCATGCCCAGCTAATTTTCTTTTCTTTTTTTGTATTTTAGTAGAGATGGGGTTTCACTCTGTTGCCCAAGGTGGTCTCGAACTCCTGAACTCAGGTGATCCACCCACCTCGGCCTCCCAAAGTGCTGGGATTACAGACGTGAGCCACCATGCCCGGCCCCCCATCTTCTTTTGTATTTCTTTGTTGTAGAGATGTTTCTCCATGCTCTCCAGGCTAGTCTTGAACTCCTGCGCTGAAGCCATTAAATGTGTGGAATTTACTGTATTTATTGCAGCACTTGACACATTATATTCCAATAACCTGTTTACTTGTTTGCCCAATAGACTGAATTACATAAGAGCAGAGACTTTGCTTTGTGTAGCTTCGAACTCCCAAGAACTGGCACTTTAGGCACTGAATACATTGCATGCCTGATGAGTGAATAAATGAACAACAGACACTATTGCTGCCTTCCAGCGCCAGGCTGGTAAAGGCCATTACAAATGGAATGACCAGAAAACAGTTCAAGAGTATTACCCAATACAAGTGAGTGTTATTTTCACTTGTATATACTCTATTTTCATTGTCTTATGGGAGGATTCTAAGAAAGGAGGAGATCAAAGTGGCATAAAGTGACTAGTATGTCCAGTATGTTTTCTTGGAGAAACATATTTTCAGAGCTGAACTCTGAAGGATGAGTGATGTCTGAATAGGCTCAATAGGAGGAACACATTCTTTCCTTTCAGGTTTTTGCTTAGTAAAGTGATTTAGCCTATCCACTCTTGGTCTCTACCACCTCTCCCGCACTCAGCATTTAATGGCTATGCTACATATCTGATAATTAATGTGATCTCTTATATTAATCTATCTTATTTCAATAATTATATAGTGAGAGAATACAATGTGCTGTGTGCAGGGCAAACAATACAAGAAGCATAGCCCTTTCCTACTTTGTTAAACAAATCCATAAGTAATTAAATTACCATGCTTGTTATTAGTGCTATGAACAAAGGGTTCAGAGGGCTGTGAGATTACTTAAAGGAGGCCTAACTTGAAGGCAGGGATGGGTTTTGCTGAGGAAGTGGCACATGTGCTAAAGAGATAAGAGTGGAAAGCACAGCTTTGACCTCAGGGTTTTTGACAGGATCGCGTTCAACTGCAAGTCACAGAAAACACAACTAAGCAGACTTATCCATCCTGAATTGCCTGATGGCCCAAGGTAACCGCTGACATCACATTCACATGGCAGGAAGAAGAAGGGCAAAGGCAGGATGGTGCGTGTCAGTGGATGCTACTCCCTTGTAAAGAGCTTTTTGGGAAGCCTCACCCGAAAACCACACTTTTCAGCTTGTTGGCCAGAACTGAGATGCCATGCAGTCGTTCTCAGCTAGAGAAGCTGATAAATGTAGCGGGTTAGCACTGATTCATTGATTGACGATTGTATGCTTCTGCCCTCAAACATATTTGGGGTTCTACTGATAAGAAAGAAGGAGGGAGAGGATTTTTGAGTAGAGTTAGAAATGTATGCCACAGGCACAAGCCGTGTTCTCATGTCTAGCTTTACCTAGGAGCTCTGCTCTTCAGGACAAGTGTGTGTGCATGTGCATGTATGTGTGTACGTGGGCATGACTGCATGTTCGTGAATGTAGGGGGGTCAGTGG